TACATTTCTGATATTTGGACATGTCTTGAACATTTGGGAACAATCAAATCTCTAAGCCGATCGAGAGGAAATAGCACTACCAAGCAGAAATGTGCCAAATTACCCAGAAACAATTTAAATAGATGGCAAGCAGGGCTGCCTGCTGATTTCCAAATAGTGTAGTTAATCTGCCACTAAACTATCTTCTTATATTTTGCTTCAATAAATTGCATGTTACTTAGAAACCTACTATTTGTTCTCTAAACTTCTGTATGTCTGCTCAATGGAATTTTGACAAGGAGTGAATTTCTTGATAATAAAATAAAGATTCAGTATACACTCCAATTATTTATTTATTTATTTAAATTTTAAGTTGTTGGGTATCATATTTAGCAGCTTTAGGACTAATTGATGTGATTGATGTGGTCATAGCAATCTCGAGCTACTACTGACAATTAAGCACGTGTCTATATGTTTTTTGAAGAAGGACTATATATTGACCCTGTTATTAAATACAGACGTTTAATTATTTATATGTTATTTTTTGCTAATTTTAACTTTTCCTCCAATTGCAACAGTTGTGAATGATGTTCTTTATTAATAGGAGATACCTGCATTGTGTTATGAAAGTAGCTTACCTACTGCTGTCCCACAGTAAATATAGTCCAAAAACAGATCTTTCTATAGCAAAAAAAGTGACTAAACATTATGTGGCATCACTTTTCATGTACATTCCTAACCATGCTTCCAGTTAGGGTAGCTCAGAATCTGTGCATACGCTCACTGGGATTCTTTGCAGGACAGTCCATCCTACAACATCCAGCCTAAGAGAGAGAACTGCATGTGGTCGGCAACCACCGAGGATCCATCCCCCCTACAATACCCTTTTCTCCCACACTACAGCCTCTAGACCCCTTACACTGAAGTTCTTATATTGCTCTAACACTCACAATATCCCTTTAAAGCCCACTAAGAAACACAGACACTACAGCCTCTATCTCCTACATAACAACCCTGATTTCTCCTCACACACACTACAACGCTATTGCCCCACACACACATGCACATGCACAGCCATTATTATCCTACAAACACATGCACACTACAGCCCCTATGCCCAACACATTACAGGTCCTTTCCCACCAAATGCACACCCTTACTGCAGCCCCTATTTCCCCACCACACTACAATTGTCATCCACACACTACAACACTAACAGCCCCATTCACATACATTTAACACCACAAGATGCCTCCACCTACAGCTCAACTCCACAAGTAGTGTCCCACACACACCGAACACCACAGCAGTGTCCCTAAAAAAGGTAATACCACAAGAAGCATCCACACAACACCACATACAGTGTCCCTACAAACAGCATCCCCACAAACATGCAATACCACTATCAGCACTCCTACAAACATGCAATACTAAAAGAATCCTCCATTCATTCGACATGGGAGGTATGGAATCGGTATGGAGGGTGTCACAAAAGTGGGAATGTGCACCCACCAAAGGAGTGTAGCAGACATCCTCTCAGCCAAGGGGACCATGCAGACAGTCCTAGTGCCTACTGCAGAGACGAGCATGTCCAGGGCAATTTCCTATTAGGCAGAGTAGAAAACTGCTTACAGACATCTGTTAGGGTGCCTATTTACAGCACATTTTATGTGCCTCCTGTGCTTGATAGCAGGTCAGCAGGAACAATTATAGAGGGTGTAAAACTCCTCTAGGGTCTGTGTGTGAGGCTGTACAGGATGTGGAAGGGATCACTTCCCAGCTGCTTGTTAACAGCTCCTCAAACAGAAAATGCCTTGCAGGAGGAGCAAGGCCAGCACTGAGTGATGCACACGGTATAACAGCTCCTATAGTTCTAGTATAAATCATAGGACTGTGGGTAATTTGCAAATAACCCGTCAAACTCCTCGTGTCTGTACTGTAAACATCCCTTTTCCCTGAGTGCAAATAGTAGGATTAGGGAGCAGCGCCTGTTATAAAATTCCCACGCTCCGAGAGATTTGGAGGAGGGAAGGAAAAAGACACAGATATAGTGTAGTATGTTAGTATCTTGACTGCTGGTAAATAAAGGAAAATTAATTGCACTTAAAATTTTCTGGAGCTTATACTCAGCTCCAGATATGTGCGCCTGGACGGTATAATCCCTGTCTATGGATATGTAGATGGTCCTTGGATGTCCTCAAAAGGGGGTCTCCAGAGGTATCAGGGTATATCTCCATTCCAATAGCAGTGGGCTGGTATTCGAATAGTTGGTGATATATAAAAAAAAGAGGATATAAATACAAAATAGTGCTCTCTGGATGATACAGAATAAAATGTTAAAAGATGGAGGTATACTCACAAGTGAAGAGCAAATGGGATATTGCTCAATATATGCAGGTATGATCCCCACCAAGGATATCACTCACTTACCCATAGTACCACCAGAAAAGAAAAGACTCTGATTTTTGGGAAGTTTCAGCAACCACATAATATAATTACAAGTACTGATATTACACCCACTCTTCTATCCCTTTTTCCTGACCCTAAATGTAAATCCTTTCAAAACCTTAACACACTCTTTCCTTACTCCCAAATGTAAGCACTGAAAGCCTAAACCAGAAACAAAATCCTTTACCTTAATCCTAGGTTTAACTACTCGTACAAATTGAATACCCCATGTAACCCAAAACTAAATTTAACTGGATTTTTTGAGGGGGATATTGATCAGGATGGACATGATATGTAAATTCAGCCCTTAGCATAACTAATAATTCACCTGCTGCCGTGCGATAGTTGGCTGCTGTTTCTGAATGTAAGCCATCATGAAACTAAATTGGAACAGTAGGCAGAACCTCGAAATCAGGACTGCCTTGCCTAAAGTTAGGCAGGTGGGAGCCCTGCACAGAACAGGTAGCTTACCTTCACATGTGCAACCCCCAAAAAACATCACATACAGCACCATGTCCCAGCAATCAAACACCAAGTCTACATACAAACACATTGAAACACAAGTACTAAACTCAAGTACACCACTGCTTTAAAATAGCAACAGTACATACAAACTTACAATTGCATTCAAAGGCCGACACACTACACAAACACATACATACATTCAAACATACAAAAAAATGTGCACATTCAAACACGATTGCTGCTCACAAATACAGCTCTGCAAGGATGCGCATATGGTAAATCCCCAGATGGAAAAACATTTTTGGAGTTGTAGGACAGATAGGGAACTACCTTTTAGCCATGCTTGTACTAGAGGAGGCCCAAAAAAAGATTCTTGTACCAGGGCCCCCTCTACATTAGTTCCGCAACTGATAGAGTGCATCATAAAATAAGTGCTCACCAAACAGATAAGAAAACTGTTGTTGCCTTTACCAAGCTATAATTTGCAAGGCAAGGGAAAACATCCAAAAAATACTTTGAGTCTTTTGGACTATCGTGTCCATATTCTTTCAATTATAAACATGTTGTTCCTGATTTGCAACCCCCTCCTTCGTTCTGCTCATAGAGATGTTGAATGGGGCAAAGCAAATTCACGGGTTCTAGGGCCTCTCTACAGGCGGTTAAGTAAGCCACTTTATGCTTATTCCTTCTCTGGTTTGCATAATTGCATTGTTCTCTGGCTTGTTGTAAAGTGCTGTAAATATATAAAATATATATATTGGTACTTTTTATTACATAATAAGTAATAACTCTATATACATTTTTTTTAAATTGTGAAAAAATAACGGATATAATAATTAGGGTTTAAAGGCTAAGTCACAGAAAGGGGAAATAAAGGAGAAAATTCCTTACGGAGAACAAATCTTTACTGACCATGTCCTTTCTAACATAACTTAACCCCAAACTCCACGACACATTAACCAGTTCTCCTCTGTCTATGATTGCGAAATAAACCTTCGCAGAAATAAAACCTAATCTCCTGTTCTGCTACAGAGCTGCCCAGTCTGCACATCAAATTCACATAAATGCAAATACTATTGGGAAGACAAAAGATAATGAGCTCTCCCTTTTCAAATTTTGTGTGCGTTAAGATCTTTGAAAGTGACGATAGTTTGAGGGGTGGGGATTTGAGATGAGAGAAGTGTTAGCTTTGGCACCTGTCCTTCTCCTGATCTTTCTCCTTGATCACTCTAGCTTGCCAAGGTAACTCATTCAGTGCTGCAACTGAGAGCAACTTTAAACATATACAAATAAAAACCTTACTGGACCCAAGAAAATATTATGGTCCTACACATACAACAAATAACCAGAAGGGACCCATAAAGTGACTCCATAAAATAAGAAGGCTTAAAGATAGATGGGTATTATCCCCAGGACTATCTGTATTCTTTCCAATAGCATCTAATGTGGATTTACAGTTTGGGTCGGGTCATAAACTGTTGGAAAAGTTAACAGGAGATGCAGACCCTTCAGTTTCAAGTTTAATAACAGATGAAACACCCAATAGATTAAGAGAGTTCCCTTCATGGGACAATATGACAGCTCTTATAGATAGAATGGGTATTATGTACTTAAAGTTTTTCATAAACCAAAAAGTGTTACCGTATTGGCAGACGAGAGAGAAAACAGAGTTTGAGTCACTCTGCGGTCCTGGAATAGAGAAAAAAACGCTACCTGTCCAGTATATATAGCTTAATTCATAAGGGAGCTATGGAGAAGACTGTCCCTTCATTCCAATTGAAGTGGATGAAAGGTTTGAACATCCAAATGACCAGCAATGAGTGGTCATTCGTGTTCAAAATGGGGATGAAAGCCCAGGTGAGCACTACTAGGAAAATTATATTTTTTAAAAGAGTCACTAGATGGTACAATACTCCAGATCGACTTAAAAAATACGGTGCACTAGTTTCGGATGGTTGTTGGAGATGTGGCGAGAGGGGGGCGAATATGGAACATATATGGTGGGAGTGCAAACTTATGAGGAGCTACTGGTTACAGGTACTGAGTGTCATTTATAAAATTTTACCAATGCCTGATCAATTATCTCCATCCAAGATTCTATTGGGATGGCCAGCTTCCTTTAAGGAGAATAACAAACAGATATTGCTGAGTTTCTTATTGAATGAGGCAAATGCTTTGATCCCGTTGTATTGGCTTAAATCTAGTATTCCTACTAAAGAACAATGGATTTTTAGAGTGGAAGCTTTGAGAGAACTTGAAGAAGTCCATTGGGCCATTCAGGGGAAGAGAGATCATTATGATAGGATATGGGAACTCTGGCGAGCGTACTGGGCAGAAACATCGTAGCAAGAGTACGTTAAGACATACTGAGGATGAGTTAATAGACCACTAAGATTAGAAGGATTGGCAGAACCCCCCCTTTTTTTTCTCTTTCTTTTTCTTTTCTTTCTTTCTTCTCTTCTCTTCCCCTTCTCTCTTGGAATGTTTTAAGCATATGATGATATGGGACTTTGATAATGCTATTTGATAATGGCATAAAGTAGTCCCAATATCTGACGCAAAATTTTTTTTACAAAAATGAGACATGTAGCTATTGCAGAAACAGAAAATGCCAGGAATATTTTGTGGTCCATCTTCTTCCTTTGTGAGTTTTTGTTTTTCCTGAACAAAGAGGAAATAAAGAGTAGACATTCTATAGTTCTGCAATGCGATGCAGATGCTGGAAGTTCTGATGGAAGGATGTGTTAAGTGAAGACCATAGGAAAAGGCTACCTAGTAGTTACAATTTCAAAGTCCATCAAGTTCAACCTTAAAACCAATTATTTTATGCTGTTGAAAAGAAGGCAAACAAAAACAATTGTAATTGATGGATTTCCTATTATACCACAAAAAGAAAAAAAACAAAACTTCTTGACTCCATAATGACAATCAGATTTCTTCTTGGATCAACATCGTGTTCACATATATACCAACTATATCCTTTAATATTCTGTTTAAAAAAAAAAAAAAGAATCCAAAGGCAAATTAAATATATGCCATGTGCACAAGGAGTTAGAAAGCTATAGTCATTATTGAGTTTTAAGGAATAAAGCAATTCTAGCATGTTGAAATCTTTGGGGAATGGAAAAGAAGAATGTTGTATCTGAGATATATCCATACACATCGTATGAGTGTTAGAATGTTGGGAAGCTACTAATAACCACTGGAATTACAGCCTTGCCTATTATAACTATTCATAGTCAGTAGTCAGCATATGTTCCAAATATTACTGATATGTTAATTTATTTGCTTAACTAGTTCACTGTTGACACAAGTTACTAGATAACCAATGAAAATAGTAAATGGGGTGCTTCCAAAATGTCTGCCAAAAAAATTAACTGAAAAGTGAAAGTGATAATAAAATATAGAATTTTAGTTGATTTATAAAACTATCAAAATATCAGAACTCACTATTAACCCTTTCACAAGACCAGCAGGAATAAAAAGAAAAATATATTTGAAAGAATTTGTTAAATATGTTGCCCAGAAACGATTTAATATAAAGATCACAACTGTAATGCTACCCGGTGCCAGACTTTTAATATGTCTGTAAAGCATGTCAGAATCTGGACGCATTTCTTTCTTTCATTTTATTTTCTTAGAATGAATTTACCATTTATGAAATAATGAATCGAAGACTCTCCTCATATATCCAAGACTCCCACAAAGTGCACAATAAAAAAATTTAAAGTATACTTCCTTGCTTCTACTAAATGGCACACTCCAAATCAAAGAATGGGTTTTGACATGGGTAAAAGTGCTAGATTATGTGCCCTTGAGCAAGGATGTCAGTATTTTATGATCGTATGATGTTACATGAAATAATCTTTCATTTTTATATTGCACTGTATTGCTGGTTAGAGCTTTCAGTAGCAGCGAGCATTAAATACTGATAGGTCACAATTCGATTTTGAGATTTTTTTTTTGTTTCATATATAATCTTTAAAGTGTACCTGTCATAGTACACAAAACTTAAAGAAAAAAAAAAAAGGATAGAGGAGGCCATTGTATCTATCCACTGAGCACTATGCAGCAAATATACATGGCAAGGAAACATTAAAGGGATACTCTAGACACCTAAAGCACTTTAAATTGCTGATGTGCTTTATATACTAAAAGTCTGTCCTCTTTTTTTTTAAATCAATTTTACAAAAAGTGCAGATTTCAATATAAATTGGTACTTTTGTAAGTAATTCCCCCCTGGCTGTCAATCAGATAATTGGTCTTGTTCCTTCCTGGTTTGTTTAGCTTAATGAAGAGTTAGTAAATTACCCAAGGCACCTGTGTATAAAGACTTCTCCTTGTGCTGCATTGGGAATTCTGTGATTGGACAGTCACAGAAAATCTGGGCTGGGTTAGAAGAGGAGTGCATGCAAAGGCTGCAGCTTTTGCAAGCTGTTTTAGATATAAACTTTATGAAAGAAAATGCATAATTAAATGCTTGCATGTTTTCATTAAGGATATATATATACTAAACAGTGATTTTTAGTTATTTATTTATTTAATTTTGGCCATGGAGAGTCCCTTTAAACAAATACACAAGGTAATCTCCACCAACCAATACTGTGTCCACAGTGAACTGGGGATTAGGTTCTGCTTCCCCAGCATCCTTTATCATGAAATTGACCTCAGGCACTACTGGGCCAGGGCAATGAATACTTAATTGTCTAATTTGTTTCTTGAATATTAGAACAGTTCTTACTGATTGTCACCAGAGAACTTGGTTTCCACCATTTCTTTACTTTTTCTGTATATGCAGTTTATTGAGATGTTATAGTGCATGTCAATACATAAATACAATTCATGAGATGTGCAACATATAATGCATTTCACAACAGGACGACAAGTAACAAGTAAAAAAAAAAGTAAATAACAAAACGTAATAATGAAAAATAACGAATTATAATGAAATGTAATGGTGCATGTAACACACATCCTACATTGCAACAATCGAGCACGCTAAATGCCCAGCACTAATTGTATTAAACAACTTGTACTATTTAACAGCAGGCCCTATAAGAACGTGATATTAGAAGTTGGCCCAGTCCTCCCTATTCTGCTAATCTCATATTGAACTTTGTCCAGGATTCAGGAAATGTAGCCAATTATCCAAGACCTTATCCAACTTTTTCTCAGTCATATTTACTCCAGATAAACATCCAAAGAAGTAATTATGTTTATTTATTCTTTTTGTGGATTTTGACTTTGTTTTATTTTTTTAGAGTAGTGTACTTCATTTATTAATATTTCTGCCTCTTTTTTGAAGCAGAATAGTATTCTATTTTCTTGTGTCCTCTTATATTATTTTCATTTCTTTTATAAAAAAACAAAGCCTTTTGCTCACAGAATATTTGAACAGCATTATGAGTGAAATATAATTGTGCAGGTGCTGAAATGCACTGGACTATATGAATAAAAAAGGTGACACTTTTAGATTACTATTAACATTAGAGTGAACCTTTCATACATGTAAATAATTTATTTCATGTAAAATTTTAAGTTAATTAAATTCATGATATTCAAGCCAGCACCACAATGTCCACCAGTGTGTGGGTGTTACATTATCCTTCATACTGCCCCTGCTGTTAATTTCATGAATTGCCCTCCAAGGGCAACAGAAACTGCCCGAAGGGAAGCAATCCTCTTTCAGTATGCTGATATAATGTCTGTAGCGAACGTGACCTCGCCACGGGCTCCTGGAGGAGCCTGCTTGACAGCCTGCTCCCGAAAGACTATAGGCCCTGTAAAAGCCATGGGAAAAGACTTGGTTCGTGGGATTTTCATATTGGTTCAGGAACCAAATCAACTCCCAAACTAAAGACCACACAGGAGCTTGTTAAACATTATTAACACCTTGTAACGATTCTGCCTGCACTGTTCTAAGTGTTCGCATGGGTGGCGCCGTTCGTATGCCCGAACACGTGGTGGCGGCCATCTTGTGTACACGAACGCAGGCAGTGGTGTTTGGTGTTCGAGTGCATGGAACTAAAATCGGACACTCGACTTTGCTAACACCGATGAACTTGGAGCCAACCTGCATTCGGCACTTTACATCCTAGAAGAGCACTGTTCAGTGGAATTGTTCATCTGAATAGGTGAACAAGCTCCACGTTATACTTAGGGATTATGTTTGGTATTTTGGTCGCCGGGAACTCCTGAACGGGATCAGCCGCTACACTTGAATTCATGTAACTGTTTTGGCCATAGGACCATGTGTGTGGCCAGTCAGAACTTTGCCTCGGTGGCGATTCGGCTGTGTTCGTGGAATCTGAGAGCTTTTTTGATATGTTGGGCGCTCAGATCCAGGCTATCCGGGAATGTATAGACTGCGGGGGATCCTTTGTGGGAAATGTGTATTTTTATGTGTTTTTAATAGTTTGTATTTTATGCTGAGTCACAGTGATACTGTTACATAGTTACATAGCTGAAAAGAGACTTGCGTCCATCAAGTTCAGCCTTCCTCACATATGTTTTTGTTGTTGATCCAAAAGAAGGCAAAAAACCCAGTCTGAAGCGCTTCCAATTTTGCAACAAACTAGGAAAATATTCCTTCTTGACCCCAAAATAGCAGTCAGATGTCTCCTTGGATCAAGCAGATATTACCCCACTAATTATAAATTATGTCCCTGTATGTTATGTTTTTGCAAGTATTTATCCAATTGCAGTTTAAACATCTGTATGGACTCTGACAAAACCACCTCTTCAGGCAAAGAATTCCATATCCTTATTGCTCTTACTAAAAAAAAAACCTTTTATTTGCATTAGATGAAATCTCCTTTCTTCCAGCCTAAATGTGTGAACTCGTGTCCTATGTATATTTGTATAATGTTATCAGATCCCCTCTCAGGCGCCGTTTTTCCAAGCTAAAGAGATTTACATTTTTTAACCTATCTTCATAACTAAAATGCTCCATTCCTTTTATCAATTTTGTAGCTCGTCTCTGCACTTTTTCTAGTACCATGATATCTTTCTTTAGAACAGGTGGCCAAAATTGCACAGCATATTCAAGGTGTGGCCAGCGATTTATAAAGAGGCAAAATTATATTTTCATCTCGAGAATTTATGCCCCTATTTATACATGACAAAACCTTATTGGCCTTAGCAACAGAAGATTGACATTGCATATTGCTGCCTAATTTGTTCTCTATAACATTTTCCAAATCCTTCTCGTGTGTGGTTATCCCTAGTTCACTACCATTTAGGGTGTAAATTGCTTGTGCATTCTTAACCCCGAAATGCATAACTTTGCATTTCTCTACGTTAAATTTCATCTGCCATTTTAGTG